TCAGTACCTGACATAACAATGTTTTCCACCCCCATATCCCAGAGACATAAAAGCCATGTAGGCAGAGATTCCGATGGCTTCTGCCTATAACCAGATGCTCATGTCCACCAACTCATCCTGGGTATAGAGATGGAGCATGGAGTGCTCCACAACCTGGGGAGGGGGCGGCTTCTCCCCCTGAGGAGCCCACAGTTGTTTCATTTTTATTTTCTTAATTACAGCTGGGCAGGCCTTTAAAACAGGAAAGGATGGTACCTCCGGCGGTGGCCTGGATAGCAGATCTGCCCATGGCCCCATATCTTCCTCTTCTCTCCCGGGCTTCTCCACCATGTCCGGGGCTGAAGGCACCACTCTTCCCTTCCCCTTCCCTATAGCCTCCTGCAACGCGGCTTTTCCTGCTGCCTCCCGCCTTGCTGCTGCTAAGGAATCTTCCAGAAGCGTGACCTGTCTTTTCAATAACTGTCTTTCTTCTTTACCAGGATCCCATAGGTTATCGCCCAGCTCCTCCAGGCAATGCTGAACTGTATCTCTCTCCTGCCTAAGTCCCTCTCTCTCCTCACTAACCCTCTCGATAATCATCTCTTTCTCCTCAATAACATTTTCTACTATCTCGGTGAAAAGTGACCCTACAAGCCAGCCACTACATGGCCACCTAGGGTCTCCAAGCAGTCTTCCAACTCATGGAGGACTAAATCTGCAGGTTCTGGTGTTTCCACCCTTCCCCAGTTCTGCAGAATGCCCCAGCCCTCCAGGAGGTACTTTACCCTAGACCAGTTCCCCACTAGGGGTTCCCAAATTGGAAGCCCCGCAGCTGGGAGGATAATAACAAGTGAAGCTGCACTCTCTGCTGCTGCATCCACTGGGGCTTCCCCACCATCCACAGAGGGGATTCCAGGCATCTCCCCATCATCTCTAGAGGCAGCCCTCCCAAAGGTCACATCTATTTTGACAGATTTTGGGGTCAGAGGTCCTGCCGGCTACCACCAGATGTAACTCCAGGGAGAGGAAAGCCCGGGGCAAAATACCTCTAGAAACAAAATCAGTCAGAGGGGGAAATAAAACCTATTTATTGCTGACAAACTGCAGTCTGGGGCTGTCTCTTTCCTATTTGGGCAGAAGCAAGCAAGACCTTCCCCTAACCTCCCAGATTCAAATAAACCCTTGGTTACCCCGTAATTACCCATTGATATGGAGATGAACCTGTCTCCACCCCTGAGAAATGCCTTTTGATATGCAGATGCACTAAAGCCAGGTGAGATATTCTGGAAATATTACAATTTTACCCACACTCAGTCACAGAAATGTAGTATGGAGTTAATGCCAGGGTTCTTGTTTGAGGAGTCGAAGATTGAACTTAGCAAACACTCAAGGTAGGAAAGCCAAGGAGAGGCTTTTATTTAAAGGTAAACTGAAAAGACAGAGCTCCTGGCTCATGCCAGGAGGGGACAAGGAATCCTGGGGTGGTGCGTTGTCTAGGGGATGGTGGGTGTCTAGGGAAGGGCGCATTGTCTAGGGGATTTATAGGCAGTTGAAAATTTTTGGGAACATGATAAAGGGCTTAGGGGTGTAGATTTTTTTAAAAGTGGTCTTAGAGTTTGTTCTTGATGATACATTAAGTCCCTTTTAGCATGCTAAAGTGAATCTTACACATGATTATAAGTCATTAGCATAATGAAAACATTGGCTGTGCTGAGATACTTTCCTTTATCTGGGGAATATTAACTGATCCCACTGAAGAATGACTCTAGAGCTTAATGTTTAATATGGAGTTTTTTAATAGGGGGTTTCCTTGTGTGCACTGCTGACTGTAATTATCTTGCCTTGCTTTTTCCGGAGGCTCTCACCCCACTCTGACTACACTCACGGTCCCTGTCTTATGGTCACATGGTTGAATAGAGTGATGCCCTGGGGTTTAATTTTACAAAGATGCCCTGCGTTTTTATATGCTGTGGATGCTCATTTGAAACCCACTGGGCTGCCACAGTGTGTGGACTGCTGGGCCGACCTTCTCTGTGGAGGATGTAGAAATATACTGAAGGTTCTGCAGTTAGCAGAATCCTTGGTACTTCAGGAGCAGCTCAGGAACATGGTCCCTGCTGAAATTGTAGACTCCACATTAGCCAGCTCAGCAGCAGTACCCTGCGGTGTTTGGCAGGTAGATGCACAAAGGACAATGCTCCAGGGTCCAGCAGGTGGCAGCCACGACAACAGAAAAAACAGCTTGAAAGATCTCTTAAGGCCAGAGATTGTAGGAGCAAGCACACTCTTTCCATACTTTTTGGGGAGAGGTGCAGGAGGAGAGGCTCTGTAGCTCCAGAAGGAAAATCCCGGAGTAAAGTACCAATGAAAGTGAAATTAGTCAAAGGGAGAAATAAAGTGGGAGAAACCCATTTATTTCTTACAAGCAGTCATCCCACATCTCTCAACAGGGCTGCTGATAGAACCCCACCCAACCTCTCCTGTTTAGATTAGCCCTGCTCGCCCTGTAATTACCTATTGATATGGAGGTGGCTACTTATCTCCGCCCCTTGGAAACACCTATTGATATGGAGATACACTAAGGTCTGGCGAGAGATTCTGGAAATATTACAGTTTTACCCACAGGCTCTCTGAGTTATCAAGCATTATTTTGTCTACAGGGACCAAACAGTTCCGAAAGTGTATTTAAATTGTCAGAGTGGATTAACTTTAAACTAGATTGAAATTTTACTTTTTTTGTCTCTTAACCACAGAATGGGGATTTGGGAGAGATTAGATTATAAACTAAAATAGGGAATAAAATATTTCTCTACCTCATTTGAGTTGTAATATAAGCCATAGGATTCATCCTAAATTGCCCTTCTGCAAGGTCATTCAGATTTCTTCTTGGATAAGCTTTTCAGAACAGGAAAGAGGACGATGGTGTACACATCAGCTTTATTATTCTCCCCTCTCTTTCCTATCCTGTTTTCTGATATGTCCCCTATTTGGGAAGTTGGGAGGGAATTTACACTTGTATCCACAGCCCACTTGCTCCTATGTAATGGCTTTTCTCTCTTGAGAATGCTCTCGAAGGCAGGAAAGTTTCCAAAAAATAACCCCATTCAGCAAACCTTTACTGAAGATTCAGTGAGTATAAGGTCCTGAGATGAATACAGGTTTTGTAAAGAAAAAAACCTAGCCCTGGCTTACACACAGGGAGCAGAGGAAATAGGGAAATAAGTATTTAAACAAATCTGAACAATCATTCGAAGAAAAAAGCTGACACTAACTTATACTGACTCTTTCTTGGCTCATGTCTGTGAATCTCCCTGACTCCCAATCACTTATATTCTCTTCATCGTTTTGAGACAGGGACCATGGGCTTAGACAGAATAGGGTGAGGGCCTCTGGAAAAAGCAAGGCAGGATATTTGCAGTCAGAGCAATGTAACTACATGCAAGGAAACCCCCTACCAAAACTCTGTGTTAAGCATTAAACTCTAGAGTCATTGTTCAATGAGATCAGTTAATATTCCCCAGATAAAGAAGAGTAGCACATGTTTTTATTATGCTAATCATTTGTAATCATGTGTAAGATTCACTTCAGCATGCTAAAAGGCCCAGGCCTATATGCTGTCTTTCCTCCTTCAGATCTGATGAGGTGATTTTGCAAACTGGGCAACTAATTTAGCAGTGCAGACCCAGCTGTAAACAACATAGTGAAAGGCAGGAAGGATTCCACCTTAAAGATAAGATTGCATTTTAACACCCAGGAAGTTTAAGAAGTAAGATTCTTAACTTTTTAGCAAACAGACAATACCTCAGCCCACCTTGGGGGTGGGGCAGGTGACCTCTTGATATGCTCCTAGACCAAGACGCCAGTATCCCAGGGGGAAATCAGAGCAGTAAATTTCTTGTGTTAAGTTAATTTTTAATATTCAGGGACCACTTAACAAGTCCACACCCCTAAGCCTTTTATCTGGTTCCCAAAAATCCTCAACCGCCTATAAAACCCCTAGACAACGCATCACTATGGGCTCACTTGTGCCCTCCTGGCTCACACCAGGAGCTGTCTGTCCTCTACTGTATCTCTCAATAAAAGTCTCCCTGGTGTTCCTACCTTGACTGTTTGCTAAGTTCATTCTTTGACTCCGCAAACAAGAACCATGGCATCATTTTGCCAACATTTCACGTTTGCATTTCCATGTCACTTATCACATTTTATTTTATCCTGTGGTCATTTTTCCCTACCAATCTGTGTACTTCTTTGGAACAAGATCAACATCTAATTCACTTTGTAAAGCTCTGGAGCCTGGCAAAACTTTCGATACACAGAAAATTGAGTGTGAAACAGTGTTAGTCTCAGGCTGTGCTAAGATGTATGTTTGAAGATGTTAGTTGCAATGCTATTTATTATAGTGAAAATTTAGGGACAGGTTTCCTACCAAGGAGACCCCTGGTTATTGCATATGAAGGGATACTGTAAGATAAATTCTAGCTGAAATAAGCAGGCGATGAGAGGCAACAAAGGGCCAGGCAGTTTATTTGAGTGCAATTCCCGGGTGATGTTCCCCGGTCTGGGTATTACAGGCCTGGGAAGTCACACCCAGTCAGGAAGTGGGGGCTTATAAAGGGTTAGGAGGGGGAGGAGTGGGCAAGCTATCCTAGGGGGTGTGGAGAGGTATGATTGGCTAGAGGTGACATAATAGACAACTAGAAACTTTTTTTTCCTTCTAAGAGGGAGGAGGCTGACATCCAGGTCTTAGGTGGCACATCAGGAGGATGGAATTCAGGAAGAGCTGTCCCCTTTCCTTATAAGGCACGGACCTTGCGGTCTGATCTGTTCTCCCCCTATGGCATCTCTCTGTTCTGTTTGCATGTCCTGGTTTTTCCTTCCTCCAGCCTAACATTCCAGCCTTTTGGTCATAATGGGTGATGACTCGATCTGGCTACTTCCGGCTGACAAGGGGTGTCGTGGGGGTTTGAGGCTGGTATTAGGCTGAAGGAGGGGGTTCAGTGGAAGAGGTGCGTAACGGTGAAGTAACATCTGGTTGGTGGTGACTTGGTTCATCTGGGTTAGCTGCTGTTGGAGGAATCTGAGGACACAAGAGGCAACTAAGAGTAAATTACAAACTGTTATTAAGGGGCCCAGTAGGGGCATAAGCCAGGCCATTATGGGGGACTGGAATTCTGGATCAAGTTTACATCTCAATGACTAGTATTGGGATTTAGTATAGATAAGACTGCATTATTGAAACAATACTTTTCTCTAAAATCACCCTCATTTTTATTAGAAGTAGCCAGATTAAGAAAATAATTAATACTTGGCTCTATTATTTGCAAAAGTGCAGCAAGAAGAGCAATTGATTACATAGGCTCTTTTAAATATGCTTTGCTGGAACTTTTTATAAGGAATTTCAGATTGGACTTTTAAAGGCTTCTTGAGGCCAGAAAGCTAAGCCAGACTTGCCATCAGGTTGTACCTGCAGTACCTGTACATTTGGGAGAATTCTTCTCTTCTTGAGGTTCCCAAGACATTCCTCAGGTTCCTGCACCTGCCAGAAAGTGACCTTCCTTACTCACCTGGTAAGGCTGCTGGGAACTGTAAGCAAGGTACCAGGCTAGTTCTTCTAAAGGGCTTTGTTGGCTTTATAAAGTCAGTCTTAGTTCCTTAAAGCTGTCTGTTTATATCTGAGTTTACACACATGTCTCTCAGGTATGATGTTCCAGTCAAAGCCTTGGTAATATAACCAGTGTTTTTAATTGGTCCTCTTACAAGGAAAGCAGATTCTTATTTAACTTGTGCAAATAAACATACTGTCATGAAATATAAAAATAGTCACTGAGAGTTTTTAAATTCTGGAGGGATCAGGTAGAGAGAAAGATAAAGTTTCAATTCTGCTTATAAAGGCAGTTATTTACTAAACTGTCGTCAGCTTAAGAAAAAAAGCTTAAAACACTTTATCAACAACATTTGAAACAAAAAGCCACAAAATCTTCTTCCTTAGTTTACTTAATCCTATGTAACTAATACCTATTCTGCTGAAATCTAATTTCTTACTAGTTTATGAGTAATAAACAGTAAGTATAGATGACAAAAGATTTACAAGTGATAATGGTTAAAGATCTGATGAGAGCTTACTGTAAGACAGTTGTCATAAGGAAATTTGGATATTTCTGTAACACAAAACATTCAGTGACAAGGTTTAGCATCATTCTTTTTGACAGTGCTTTTTAGGTAAATATATATCAGATAAATAAGCCAAATTAGCTAAATATTTTCTCCAATGAGAAAAAGTTCCTCTGACATGTTCTGTGGGTCCTTTGGAAAATATCAGAGTTAACTAGAGGTGAAAGTACCTTTTTGAATTTGATTTTGGGAAGTTGTCAGAAGAAAGTTTCTTTGGCACTTGCTTAAATAGGATTAAGCAATACTTATCTATTTAACTAGAATGACAACAAAGTACTTTAAAGGTAAATAAAGAAGGTCACACAGTTGTTAGCAAAGTTTAGCTTTTAGTCCTTTTAATATTAAGATCTCATTTTCTTAAATACTCCGACAACTCACTGAGACTTTAAGCATGAGAAACTGCTTTGATTAAACAATTAGAGAACCCATTGCAATCTTTCAATATTACGAGCAGACTAACAGTTAAGAAAACTTTGTCTTTTTTAACTGAAAATAAAATTCTAATTTTGCTGTGTGCTTGATACTGAGACTCATTTGCTTTAATTTTATATAGCATGACCATATTAAATTCTTCTACAAACTTTCTATACCTTTCTTTTTTCATTTAGAGTTCTCTCTGTAAAACCAGCTGTACTTTAGAACAAAGTTATTTTCTTTTATCAAAAGACATATTCTTTAGGATGCAGAAATGTTTTCCTTATTACTTTAAGTAGTTTTAATTAGAACTTAAAACCATTAGGTACCTTAATTTTTAGTGAACACTGAGAAGCAGGCTATTGTAAACTGTTACATTAGCATTCTTTAGATTGACAAATCTATGAACATTTTATAATTTCTGTAACTATGAGCTTTACAGCACAATCTCTCACTAAACACAAAGTATATCTTCTTAACTTAGCAAAACTTTAAGGTTTTAGGTTACTACAAAGATTCTCAGGCTGTAGGTAGGTATACACACTGTAACACACAATTAAAAAGGTGTTCACTTTGCCATACTTATTTAGTTCACTCATTCATAACAACTATGCTAGATTACTTACAAGACCTTTACTGAATATTAGACAAAGCTAAGCTTTTAAGCATTTTATTCTTAAAAGATTTAGCAGATAACATCAACTTAAATGACCTTAGGTAAACTTAGGCAGCGGATAACCACAAGGACATGCCCGCCTTAGCTAAACCCAAATTAGCATTAATGCCTAACATTTTTTATCAGATTTTCTGAAAGTTTTAGAATGCCCAATTCTCACAAGTGCTTGTTTTTAAATCAATTTTTATTACTACCATCCAGAGGTAGGAAAATATTTTTCATCCACACACCTAGACACACAAACATACAAACTGAGACACAATGACTACACTCAGCAACACCTCCTACATAAAAACATATACACAGACAGACAAACTGATATAAAGACTTGAGACACTGATATCCAATTGCTTTCCCTCTCCTCAGCTTCCTGTCTGTGGCTTCTGGAACCAGAGGGTGGGAGGAGCGTGTTCTGGCGGGGGGAAGAGGGCGGTGAAGGTGGAAGGAGAGGGGGCGGTGGTGGTGCAGCCACTGGAAGAGGAGAGCAGGACGACGGCATGGTTGAGAATGTAGGACTTTAAGATGGCAGCGACATGTTTGAAGACAAAGGACTTAAAGATGGTGGCGGAGAGAGGGGGAGGGGATCGTGAGCTGAGGGAGGTGGGCGACTGAGGTCTTCTGGAGGATATGAAAAGGAAGAAGGACTGGGCAGACTAAGAGGCTGACAATCTTTAACTGGAGATCGGGTCAGGAGAACCTGAGTCATTGAACACTTAACATAAAGGTCTGGGCAGGAGCGCAAAGTCCAAAAAGCCTGCACATATGGGATTTCACCCTACTCTCCACTCCAGTGGCAATAATTAATCAAGTTGGTGAGGAGGCCAAAATCAAAAGTTCCCTCAGGGGACCAGTGAGATTGATTGTCCAAGGGATACTGAGGCCTGGCCTCAGAGCAAATAAAGACTAGCTTCCATTTGCAAACTTCCTGGGACAAATATAGAGTAGCCAAATTAGAAATGAGATCATGCAACGAGGTCTGAACCTCCACTTTTGAGGGCTGGTTCCCCATGTCTGTGCTAGTCCCCAACTAATCCCGCTGAGAGGAGTGCCCAGCGTCCCAAGTGCACCAAGTCAGGGGAGATGTCCTGGGAGCCTGGCTGAGGGACGTCTCCCACACTGCAGGGCCAGGGGTGGGCTGGATGCCCACAGACATCCTGGGGCCTGGGTTAAGGACATCTCCTGCATGCACCACAGGGCCAGGGGTGGGCCAGATGCCCGCAGAGGGTGGGCCTGATACCCAGGGGGCCGGATGCCCCAACCTGGACATAGCTACAATTTCTAATGGACCAGGTGAAGTGGAGTTAGGAAGGGAAACAGACTGGGGGAAACTAAGGGACTCACTGGAAAATAGTTCATGCGGCAGAGAGCAGGCTGAGGTCCTGGGTTGGGGAAGGAGGGGCAGGGCTGCCAATGGCTGGTCAGGGCCCCGCGCTCACACTCCTTCCCTGGTACCAAGTGTAAGATAAATTCTAGCTGAAATAAGCAGGCGACGAGAGGCAACAAAGGGCCAAGCAGTTTATTTGAGCATAATTCCCAGGTGATGTTCCCTGGTCTGGCTATCACAGGCCGGGGAAGTCACACCCGGTCAGGGAGGTGGGGGTTTATAAGGGATTAGGAGGGGGAGGAGTGGGCAAGCTATCCTAGGGGGCATGGAGAGGTATGATTGGCTAAAGGTGACATAATGGACAACTAGAAACTTTTTTTCCTTCCAAGAGGGAGGAGGCTGACATCTGGGTTTAGTTTGGCACATCAAAAGGATGCAATTCAGGAAGAGCTGTCCCCTTTCCATATAAGGCATGGACCTTGGGGTCTGGTCTGTTCTCCTTTTATGGTATCTCTCTGTTCTGTTTGCATATCCTTGTTTTTCCTTCCTCCAGCCTAACAGATACTATGCAGGCATTAAAATTATTTATTAAAATACACCATATTGTTGATCTTGAAAGATGTCCATAGCAGATTTTGAGTGGAAAAGGAGATTATAGGGCAGTATGTATGCTATACATACTCATGTTTGCAAAATTGTACATATTTAACTATGTTCATACAATTGGAAGGATTGTATTAAGATGTTCACAGAAGTTCATCTGAGTGGTGGGATTTAGTGGGTTTTTAATTTCCTTTTTTATGTTTCTCCATATTTTTGAAAAATTTACATTGAATAAATGTTATTTTTTAAAACAACCAACAGTGATATGTATACAAAATAGAATATTATTCAGCCATAAAAAGAAAATAAATCCTACCATTTGCAATAATGTGGATGGGCTAGAGGGTATTATGCTCAGTGAAATAAGCCAGTGGAGAAAGACAAATACCAAATGACTTCACTCATTTATGAGGTATAAAAACAAAGCAAAACTGAAGGAACAAAATAGCAGCAGACTCACAGACACCAAGAAGGGACTAGTGGTTACCAAAGAGGAGGGGTTGGTGAGGGTGGGGTGGGGGGAGAGAGAAGGGGATTAACTGGCACTGTAATTTGCAATCACAATATAGGTAGGTCATGGGGAAGGCAGTACAGCACGGAGAGGACAAGTAATGACTCTATAGCATGTCACTACGCTGATAGACAGTGAGTGCAATGGAGGAGGGGATGAGGACTTGATCACATGGGTGAATGTTGAAACCACAATGTTGTTCATGTTCAACACTTACGGGCTTGAATGAATTGTGCCCACTTCTTTAAGTGACAACCATGTGCAACTTCTTGGTGCCTAGGTGTTTGAAAAAGGGGACACACAGACTCTGGATGAGGATAGTTTTGTGACAATAGTGACTTTCACCCTACCTCTGTCCTTCCTCTGAAAGGGCTTTTG